TCCATGTAGTGGCAACATTATGCTAATAGAATACATTACTCTATATCTTTCCGCAGGTGTCGTAAGAGGCGACGGAGGAAAACTGAAACAGAAGATAGGCACCAACATCTTACTGTTAAGAGCTCAAATATTTAAAAAAAAATGCATTTTTTAGATATTGGGGATATTTGCCGTAGTTGTTATTTGAGGCAATCTATGGAGAAGGAATATTTTTTTTTTTATAGAATAAGGGTGACAAACGAGCACACAGTCCACCTGATAGTAAGTGGAAGATGTGGCCTATAGACATCTATATTTATTCTCGATTAAGAATCAAAATGCCTCGTTTCTAGGAAAAGGGATTTCACTCATCACTCTTTATACGAAACACAGTAGTATTAAGCTGCTATTTTACGCTAGTATTCTGTGAGAGCATTGTCCTTCCCCGGTCGAGATGTGCTACAATCATAATACATCTGCAGCGTGGCTCTACCACGTAACGTGTTCAGCGGTGGAATTTTGATAGGTTGAAACGAAAAATTGAATGAACGGATTAACTACATATTTACCGTGATCTACATGGATCAGACTGATGTATGAATATGTATCTATCTGTAGTGGATTTAACAGGATCTTTTACGTACTTTTACAATTTCCGGCTATCAAAAAACTTGCTTATTGCCCATATTTACTAATAAAAACGTTTCAGAGACACCGCTTAAGGCGTATTTCTGTTAATTACCACAAATATGTAGCGTTTGCACAAAAACTTGAGCGGGGCCACTTTGACGGCGTCGTGCTGAACAAATTTTGTCGTGGTAAATGATGCAAGACGCGGCAAAGACACAAAAGTGCCGGCACATCGGTAGCTGCTTTTTTTTTAATATACATGGTTTTTCTTGACATATTTAAAAATAATTGTTTGCCAGATATTTCCGATCCGTTTATGTAAATTAATTATATATAATATAAATCAGGAATATCTAGAACAGGTAAATGAAATTGTATACTTGGGGAGTGCTTTTAGCCGGGATGGAAGATGTGATTTAGATGTGGACAGGCGTGTCGCTGCCGGGAACAAAGTCAATGGTGCCCTGACTGCGTTAGTCAAAAGGCAAGGCGTAGCGAAGAGTGCACGCCTTGCAATACATAACGCAGTGTTGGTACCGACTTTGTTATATGGCAGCGAAATCTGGGTATGCCAGAAGAAGCATAAAAGCAAGTTGAATGCAGTGGAGATGCGATCTCTTCGTAAAATGTGCGGCGTTACCATGGCCGACCGAAAGCGAAACGAAGAGATTCGCAATATGGCAGGTTTGAAAGATGACCTTATCACAAAAATTGATAAGGGCGTGCTTCGGTGGCTTGGGCACGTTGAGCGAATGAGTGAAGACCGAATGGTGAAGAAAATATATAGCGCGAAAGTTAATATTAAAAGGTGTCGAGGTAGACCGAGACTAACTTTCGAAGACCATGTGAGCAAATTGCTCGAAGAGGGTAGGGTCAAGAGTACTCGGATACCTAGACGTGCATGTATGAAGAAGATAATGAATCTGAAAGAAGCGAAAGAGGTTTGTAAGGATCGTGACACTTGGCGATCTGTTCTCTCTGGCTACCCCGTCAGGGATTGTGCGTGAAGATGTATGTATATGTATGTATAATATAAAAATGACAATAAATAGTTTTAATATTGTAAATATTATTACACTATTAAGGGCTGATTTTTCAATCGTCAGATATTATCAAATAAATTATAACTTGACTAAATTTAATAGTGAAACAATTGTACCTACCTACTTACTAATTTATTCATACAACTGTAATTTTCAATTTGTTTATGTTGCATTTTATTTAATGAATAAATACATTTTAATAATCTAAGATATACCATAAAAAAGTAATTCTGAAATAAGGTGATAACTACCAAGATGTTTTTAAAATTGTTGAAATTAATAACTCTAGAATAATAACGTTTAAAATAACAATCCCACTGGGCTTCTTACTAGTTGTTGTCATGATAGAGGTTTTTTCCGTGACAGTGATGAATAAAAATTGGATTTCAATAAATATTAGGTATGTAGGTACGAGGGCGACACTGAAAGTTTTTAGAACTGGCCACTTGTAAAAGATATAATGAAAAATAAGTTCAAATTTTGAAAATGGAACTCTTTGTCAATATTATTGGGTATGTATTTTATTAATTTGTCATTTGTTTACGATTTGGCGGCAAATTGAAAATCGTCTGTGTCACGTCAGCATGAATTTAACGCGAGAAAATTTTCGTACAATGATTTTTTATAACTTTCGATGTCATTTAAGTCAACAAGAAAATTATGATAGACTTCGATTGGCCTTTCACAATGAAGCCCCATTTCGTGCCACTGTTTGCAACTGGTTTAATGAGTTTAAACGTGGTCGCACTAATCTCACCGATGATCTGCGTGACGGACGGCCTTCTACGGCGACGACTGAAGATAACATCAGTGTTGTGCGGCATATGATAGAGCCTCAAAAGAGTGACTTATCAGCAGATTTGGACAAGCTTAGGCATCGGTATGAGTCAAGTGCACAAAATTAATAAAATTAGCTTTGTGTCCGGCCTCATAATTTGACAGAGGCCCAAAAACTCCGTCGTGTTGATTGGTGTCGTGAGATGTGACTCAAATGCTGTGTTCGACATACTTATGGGTGACGAAAGCTGGATTTATTCTTATGATCCTGAAACTGAGGGAGCGTCTGGGTGTTGGACCTTCCGAGGAGTTGCCAACTAAAGTGAAGAGAGGTCGGAGCGTGGGAAAGGACAGGTCATTACGCAATAATTGTTTTAGAGGATAGAAAATCAGTTACTGCAGAGTGATACACTAACAATTGTTTGTCACATGTCTGGGAAAAAGTTCGGGAGAAACGACCTCGCAATAGGATCCTCTTTCACCACGACAACGCCTCGTCGCACACCGCCAAGCAAACAATCGGCTACTTGACAACGTTAGACGTGGAATTACTGAGTCATTCGCCCTATAGCCCTGACCTCGCACCTTGCGATTTTTATTTATTTCCGAAAATAAAAGAGAAACTTCGAGGAAAACGTTTTATGGACGCCGAGGAAACAGTTGCTGCGTTTCAAAATGCCGTCGAAGAGACCCCTAAGGACGAGTGGGCAAAGTGCTTTGCTCAGTGGTTCCATCGGATGCAGCGATGTATTGATGTAAATGGACACTATTTTGAAAATATATATAATAAAACTAATAACTTGCTAGTTTGTTCAGTTTTTGATTTTCTAAGAACTTTCAGTGTCACCCTCGTATCTAATACATATATATTATATTAGATATGTTCTATTTTTTATTATTTGGTTCATTTTTTTTTTAATTTAAAATAACGATTCATTGAGTGATGTTCAACCTTTAAGTTCGAATTTTCGATTTTGTTAATAGAATTTTTAGTTTTATTTATACTGAAAATGACAACATAACAGTACCTACAAGATATTTTATCTGTCAAGAATTGTTTTTATACAATCATGGTGACAAACGGAGTACACAGTCCACCTGTTGGTAAGTGGATACTGTAGCTCATAGACATCTACATTTAGGAATCAAAACAGAGGCGCTATCAGCCCTGTGGACTGAGATGGACGCCACGTTTTCAGTGAAAAGGGTCTCCGGTTCTCTACACTCACCATACGAAAAACAGCAACATTAGGCTGGTATTCTGTTCGAGCAAGGTTCTTCCCCAGTCCCGTCTATTCATTCGTGCTGCATTCATTATATTATACCTTACGGTAGCTTTGCTAATATACAATTCTTAAATTAATATAAATTTTCTATTATCATGTCTAAGTAATTTCTTTAGTACAAATTAAATAATTGGGCAAAGAAACCTGTAGAAAAGTCAATAACTAAGGAGAAAGCAGTAGGAAATACCGACGCAGTAAATTAAAATTAAATCAGAACAAAATTCTACACTAAGAAATTTTACATTAAATAACATGAAATATAGGTAATTATGTTATCTCGTTTTTTTTTTCATTTTAATTATTGTTTGCACCTAATAAGCAATTGAAATTTGACTGCTTTGTTGATCTAGTTGTCGTACGCGCGTTTGCTGATCGTATGGTCCCGAATTTGAATCCCGGATCGAACCAAAAATCAGTTCTTTGGTTTTGCTGTCAAGATATTCTCAGTAGCATCCCAAAGTCAGGAAGTAGGCGATGTTTAAGCCCCGTGCCTCGAAAAGCACTTAAAGCCGTTGGTCTTGTCTTGCGCCTAATCTCTCTCCGGTCGTGTCGGTTTGCCGTCCCATCGGACTATGAGAGTGAAGAATTAGAGAGTGCACCTATGCTAGTGCACACACTCGTGCACTAAAATCCAGTCGTGAGCAGATGGCTAGTCTCCATTGAGACTGGCCTAAGTGAGTGAAATTTGGTCTGGAGGACATTAAAGAGTGGCATGCGTGACATAATTTTGATTTCAAATGAAGTAGCTAGGCAACACTTAGTAAATATAATATTTATTTAGACATGCTTTTATACACACAAACGAACAAGTTGGTATATAATTATAACTCCCCCTCTCATGCGCTGTGTTGCGTGCGACACATTTTCATCGGTACTCGTCCCGCTTCTGCCCGAGCGCAACCGACCGAACGGGAAAACAGACACACAGGTACCCTTTCTTTGAGTCCACTTTGAACTTTATAAACAGTGAAGTAAAGTTTAAAATCGATTGCCTTTCAACGGAGATTCATCAGCACGCTTCAAATAGAACGCGTGATAAAAAGCAACGCGTTTGAAATGAAGCGCGGCGATTGGACGACGCGCACCAATGGCGGCTGGAGGCGGAACACGCTGCGCTTGCGCATACGGAGACGTCGCACGCGCACATGTCACGCTTGCGCGACACGCGACAAACGTCCGCTAACACGAAGCGGAAATTTCGCGTAACGATTAGCGGTAAGTTGGGAAGAGCGAAGAATTCGCTTTCGCCGGTTAACTGAGGCATGGTGTAGTGAGTGTGAGTGCAATGATGCTGGGCGGCATGGACGGAAAGGAGTACGGGGCGCTGCATGCGGCGGCCGCCGCAGCTGGATACGCGATGGAGGCTGGTAGGTTTATATATTTTTTTTCGTACTGGCCACATAAAAAATTTTGTCTTTTCTGATGATTAATAAATTAAAAATAGAGTTCGAAAATTAAAATAAATAAATTATTTAGGTAAGGTACAAAGAGATTATCAAAACGAAATCATAATAAATTATTTTATTACATATCTTATAAATAATATTATGTTATTAGAAACCATTATTCTAGCTATTATCTTTGTGTGAAAATCAAAAACAACATTAGTTTTATTAAGTAATGAAAATTTCAGTTCGGATTACTTGAAAAAGATTTGATGAATAAATTAATGAAATTTTATTCGTCACTACAACACAAACTTTATGAACGGCACAACCGACCTCAGCTGCGGCGCAACTTGCCCCAGCGAGGTAGTGCCTTACGTCAGCTGTTTAAAAATATAATTCTCTATAAAAAAACTATTCAAAAAGCACATAAACTGGGTATATATTCAAAACCTAGATTAAATTTTACATAAGGGAGTCTAGAACTATTAACCGTAGCATTCGTTTTACCTGATTTATCTAGGGATTTGTCAAAATCGGCACTTTCAGCCCCGCTCTCCACTAAGCAACAGTTTATACCAATACTTGCTATATAGTAGCGATTTAAGAAAATTCACTAGCATATCATCCCGTGGATATCTTAAGATGCAATATATAAGAAAACGAAACGGGTGGGCATATTATCTATCCGGATAACAACAAAAAACAAACCAGTCAAGTGCAGTAACTATGATAATGAATCTATGAGACAATCTATTGTGGAAGCCTATACTCAACAATAGACTTTTAGTAGGCTGTAATGGCATTTTTAACGTGGTAGAGCCGCGCTGCAGCTATACTATGGTTGTATGTAGTACGAATGGGACGGCTCGAATGGGGCATGATCACGCTCTCACAGAATGCCAGCGTAAAATAGCAGCTTAATGCTGCTGTGTTTCATATGGTGAGTGTAGAGAACCAGAAACCCTTTTTACTGGAATGAGGCATTCCCTCTTAGTCTTAAGGGTGACAACGCATCTGCAGTTTGATTCTTAATTGAAGATAAATGGAGGTAGATATCTATGGGCCACAGCATTCACTTTTTTATAGGATAGGATGACAAACGAGCACACAGTCCACCTGATGGTAAGTGGTTGCTGTGGCCCATAGACATCTACATCTATCCTCGTTTGCGAATCAAAATGCAGATGAGTTGTCAGCCGTGAGGACCAAGATGGAATGCCTCGTTTCCAGTAAAAAGGGTCTCCGGTTCTCTACACTCACCAAACGAAACACAAGAGTGTTAAGCTGCTATAAACCACTTACCATCAGGTGGATTGTGAGCTCGTTTGTCACCCTTTTACTATAAAAAAAAAACGAATAATGAATGGAATAATATTAATGGAGATTTGCTACTACTAACGCCGGGCACCCTACTGAAATGATCGCCAGCAGTGAAATTTGGGCTCAGCATTTTTAATACTCTGATGATGATGGGATAATAATGGTGATGATGGACGTCGCGTCGCCAGAACGTCTCCCGTTACCATGAGTCAGAAATCTTGAACAGCTTTATTTTAAACTGAAAAAGAAAATCGTTTCTAATCCGTGTTCCTTGGTAGGGTTAGATTAAATTGATGTAAGTATAACGTTGGCAAACTTACTAGTGGCTACTAGAAACAAGAAAGGCTAGAGATGCGTTGTCACCTCTGAGGACTAAGATGGAATGTCTCACATTCTGTAATTACACTGGTTCTCTATCTCTTTCGATCGGAACACATCGGTAGAAGTACTGCAGTTTGGTGACTGAAATAGGTAAGAGGGTCCTACCACCTAGTAACCTAATGTCCTCCAGATCGAATTTCTTATTACAATGAAGACTAGCCATCTGCGCAGGACAGGATTATAAATAGTATCTACTCAAAGTTTTTAGAACTGGCCACTTGTAAATGATATAGTAAAAAAATAATTTCAAATTTTAAAAATGGAACTCTTTGCCAATAGTATTGTGCATGTGATTTATTAATTTGTCATTTGTGCACTATGCACGAGTGTGAGTGCAAGCACATGCAATCTCTATTCCCTCACCCAGACTTACGGAATGGCAACCTAAAGCAAAAGATTAATGTATATTTTTCATTGTCCGAACCAGATTAAAGCACAAACCGATTTTTGCTAGTATAATTAACTTTATGGCATAGAATTAGCGCATGAAAATATCAAAAATATGAAAACACCTATCAAGTCATGTAAGCGACAGTCGGTAGAGGTGCGGCCTGGGTGGCCATCGGATCCCGTCGGGCTTAGGAAAAACCGTCTAAGTGCGAGTCGGATTCGCGATAAAGGGTTCCGTACCATCGTAAAACACGTTTCTAGTAGGGGAGCCTCGTTTCATTTTTAATTTATTTTTATTTTTATGATTTGTTGTGACACAGTTTCAACTGTCTACCTGTTACGGATCTTGAGATAAAGCCCGCTGATAGACAGACGGACGGACGGACAGCGAAGTCTTAGTAATAGGTTGGTTACCCTTCGGGTACGGAACCCTAAAAACTAGTTAAGCTTAGGAAAAACTAGTCGATTCTGAAATCTGATTTGGCCGGTAACATATATTAAACAGGTTCCAGTCGACCCATCTGGCAACTAACCGTGCTGTAATTAATCATGCTATTATCTGTGACTCTCCTCTTATTTATTGTATATAATTAAACTCACTGCTTGCCAGAAATATTAAACGTTTTAATGCTCTCTAATTCGTTAGTGTAGTAGTAATAGTGTTACGGCGTCGTCAACAAAAGTTTCTGGCTGCAACGTTGGTTGTAGTACTGTACCAATTCAATTCAATTTTATTTATTACCAGAATGTAGTACACATAATAATAACGATCTTATTACTTATTAATAAGACCTTACATTTTACAATGATAACAGCGAGCAATATCTTCTGTACATACTAGTATAAAACAAAGTCGCTTCCCGCCGTCTGTACGCTTTGATCTTTTAAACTACGCAACGGGTTTTAATGCGGTTTTCATCAATAGACAGAATTATTAGAAAAGAGGAAGGTTTAAATGTATAGTACATGCACATTATGTAATAAGAAGCATGAGAGTAGAATAAATGCTGTAGAAATGCGTTCCTTAAGGAGTATGCTAGGGCTGAATCTGAATGACAGGGTGAAAAATAGTGTGATAAGAGAAAAGTGTGGTTTGCAAGAAGACGTTGTGACAAGGATTAAGAAAGGAATGCTTCGGTGGTTTGGTCATGTAGAAAGAATGAACGAGGAAAGAGTGACAAAGCAAATTTACGTTGCAGAAGTGAACGGCAGGGTCGGGAAGGGACGCCCTAGACGAAGGTTTATCGACCAAATCGGCGATACATTAAAAATGGGCCAGATTAGGAGTACCCTTAACCGACGAGCGTGTATGCGTAGATATATGGATGTAAAGGAGGCGGGAGAGATGTGTCAGGATCGCGCCAAATGGAAGTCTGTAGTCTCTGCCTACCCCTCTGGGTGATATACAAGGCGTTTGCACACTGTGTGCAGTTTGGTTCAACTTGAGAGATAGGATAGTTCTTATCCCGGTAAGTGACCTTCAATATTTTTTTATTGGTAATTTACATTGAGTTATATGTACTACGTACTAGAGAAGCCATTCCAAACAAAAATTGTGTCCTATTCTGTCTTCGCGCATGCGCGGGAGTAGTAGTCGCGCATGTGCGAAGACTTTAATTTGATATAAAATAAGATATTAATATAAAATAAATATAAGAATTTAATATAAAATATCTTAATTTAATCTAAACAAACATATTTCTAAATAAAATGTAATAATAATTATTTTATGGAATTCACAAATCTTCAATTTACGCAAAATTTAGTTTGTATAGATTGCACTACAGTTCAGTTGAACATAGTCAATGTTCGGAATGGCTTCTCTAGTACGTAGTACATATAACTCAATGGTAATTTAAGGATCTTTATAGGACAAAGTCGGAGAGGGCAGTACAACGTCTGCCTGGCCAGCTAGTATATTATATAATTCACCTGTCCGTGTATATGTGATTGAACTCCATCTAAACGGCTGGACCGATTTTAATAAAATTTTGTGTGTGTGTGTGATTAAGTTAATTAGAGAATGGTATAGATTCACAATTGGACCCGGTAGGTGGCGTTGTTATTGAGATCCAGAAATCAACCGGGCAAACCGGGGCGTATCGCTAGAGTACTTATATACTAAACTATTATTAATATTACAATTTAATTAAATAAATTATTCTAGCAGCACGGTCAGAAAATTAATTATGTAACAATTTATAAATGTTATAGCATCAAGTTTGAATGAATGAATGAATGAATATACTTTTATTGTACACCACGAACTCAAAAAATCAGATTATATTATGTACAATTTGGCGGCATTATCGCTACATAGCGATCTCTTCCAGGCAACCAAAGGTGTAAAGGAATAAAACAATGAATAGGTGGTAGGTGGTGCAATATAAATATACAACATATAATATCAATACATACGAATTATTAAAAATAAATGCAAAAGAAAACTTATAAATAACTAATACTTGAAATAATATAAATTACTAACACATAATAAAAGATAAAGTATAACATATAATATATACATATACATACATATATATAAATATATAAACAAACTTGCATATCTACTAATATATATAATAATATAAAGCTGATAGATACAATAAATACGTAATCACACAAAATATCCTAACGGTGTACGATCGATTGAGACAAGTAATGCTCTTTAAGTAGTCACTTAAAGATAAAAATAGTTTGTGCCTCACGTATATGCAAAGGTAGGGCATTCCAGAGCTTAATGGACTGGACAGTAAAAGATTAGAAGTTTTTAAATTTAATAAATGTAAATGCGCCTGAGCCGTGGTAGCTGGGGCTAAGCGCTCGCTGTAAATTTTACAGTATGCGAGCAACCCGGGTTCGATCGGAAATTATTCATTGCAATTTTA